ACTCCAGACTGCAGCAGAAAGCAAATCCACATGTGTTATTTTCCCCAAAGTGCATCGGTTCATCTCATTTCAGAGCTTCATGAACATGTCAGTAGAGCCTAGTGGCTTTGCAACCAAGATCTGAGGTTAGAAAAGGCCACAAAGAGCCCAAACCTCCCAATATCTCTGTCTGACCCTAAAGCACATCCCAGGATTATTCAAGGAGACACTGCTCTTTTTGATTCTCTTTGGAGTGCTTCCTATCTTTGATGTGACACAGAAGAAGATGAAAGCTGGTGCTAATAAAGAGGCAGCGAGCAGCTCATGTCCCGTTTTCTCACACTCCCAGAAACTGACAAGAAATGGTTGTGCATCGAACACTTTTTATTGGAGAAAATAATGGGAGGTCATGATATCGTGGGCTCTGGTCCATGTCGGTAATGATGATGTTCCTGAAGGCATATTTTCTAAATCATGCACTGAATAAAAGAGGCTCTCGACTGAAAGCAAAGTAAAAATCTAAGAGGGTCGCAAGATAACTTGAATATTAAATGCTGACAGCTGATGAAGTTGAGCTGATGCTGATGATTGTAAACGTGACGTGTAAGATGCTGCAGATATGATTGACATAACTCGTGCTGCAGATGATTGTGATTATGAAGTGGGTTGTAATCAGTGCTGGGTAGTAACTGATTGCATGTAATCTGGATTAAGTAATCAGATTACTTTACATTAAAATGCTCGTAATCAGGTTACAGTTACTTTTTTATAGATTACATGATTGCATATTATTCACACAATGGTTGTAGATTATCCATAATTTATTGATTCGCACAAATTATTCTTTTTCGCTCATAAAACATATTAAACATATTTCGATTTTAACTTTTCAAGTGTTTTATTTTGAGTGCTTCTATTTTAAACTGAGTTAGTTACAGTTGTTTAATTCGCTATTTTTAATGATTCAAGTAATTATTAACATTGCATCAAGTCACAAACCCCAAAGAACCCTTCAGTAACCCGTTCTTAAAAGTGTGAAGAACATTTGTAATGATCTAAAGAATCTTTTTCCGCTATAAAGAACCTTTTGTGCAAAGGAAAGATCCCACAGATGTTAAAGGTTCCTCATGGAACCATCAATGCCAATAAAGATCCTTTCTTTGTGTAAAAGTCTTATTACGATTTTAGTGCGGGAAAAATGGCTTCATAACCTTTTCTGCAGTGTTGGGGAAAGATACTTTTAAAAGCAATGCATTACAATATTGCGTTACTCCATAAAAAAGTAACTAATTACGTTACTTAGTTACTTTTTATGGAAAGTAATGCGTTACGTTACTTTTGCGTTACTTTTAAATCTGGACAGGGCTTGCTTGTTTGTTTTTAAAATAAAAAAACACAAATGTTTGTCTAGAGTCATTTGTGCTTATTAGTACGGTTGAACTGGATCGTCGAAGACATTGGTTAATAGAATGGGATTAAATAGGATATTTGTGTTGTTTAACATTTAATTATTGCAGGTTCGCGTCATATTCTGAGTTGCATTATTTTTATTAATTTCTCTTGTAAATTAAAAAGTAATGCGTTACTTTACTAGTTACTTGAAAAAAGTAATCTGATTACGTAACTCGCTTATATTTAATTTTATTTTGTACCACAATAACAACATGCCTAACACCATAAAACAGAAGAATTAATAGCGCTTTAATTAAATTATGAGCTCATATTTATACTCCCGAATTTGCTGGCCAGATTTATTTCTATTGTAAGTGCCTCACCATTAACTTGATTGTAATGACTCACTACTATAACTCGATTTTAAAGAGATTTAATCATTTTTTTGTGGTAATTAACATCATGCCAAATGCTGTAGACTTCACTGTGATGAGACTCAATGCCAGAGGAATAATAAAGTGCTGCAACATATTCAATAAAATGTGCTTTTTATATTTGCCTCTTTTCATTTTGACCACAGTAGCTGTTAGACTAGCAGAGACAGCTCTGGTTTTTTATGTCATGTACTCCTCTTTTGTGCACCTGTCCTGGATGCTGAACAGAAACGCACATGCAATTCCATTCAGATTCAACTTTCAAAGAAGAAAATTGCATGAAATTACTTGAAAACAGTGGACTACAATGGAAATGTTCCACTGACAACAGATCGCTACAACGTTTACCAGGCAACACACAGCTTAAACTGACACAAAATGAGTCTGATTACCGGCTTACGTGATTTCGTTCGTGCTTTGAGGGACATTTAAGGTCACAGGACCAGCTCAACCTCAACGTCTCGACTGATGAGAGTCCGTATTTAAATTTAAACGTATTTAAGAGTGATGGCTTCATTTACTGGCTGTTGGCAGGTCACTATTTTAAGAGTTGGGGAAAAAGTCCATTTATAATAGTTTTTTCCCCCCATTCAATTCATGAATTTAAAATTAATTCTTGTATATTCCATTTAAAATAAAATAAAAAATAAATATATATTTTTTTTAATTACATTTAATTTAAATATTATGTGAAATATATTTATTTATTTTGAATAATTAATAATGTACATTCTGTTCCAATGTTTGGGGTTGGTAAGATTTTTTAATGTTAATGAAAAAAGCACCTTATGCTCACTAAGGCTGCATTAATTCGATTTTAAAAATACAGTAAAAACAGTGATATTATGAAATATTATTACAATTTAAAATAGCTATTTTCTATGTGAATATCTGTTAAACTGTAATTTATTGCTGTGATCAAAGCTGAATTTTCAGCATCATTACTCCAGTCTTCAGTGTCACATGATCTTCAGAAATCATTCTAATATGCTGATTTGCTGCTCAAGAAACATTTCTGATTATTAATGCAGCCTTAGAGAATAAAAGTATTAATTCATAAAAGAAAAACTTTTGAATAGTAATGTATTTATAAAATAATAATTTATAGAATTTGACTAAAGACTGTTTCAGTAATGAAAAATATAATGAGTTCATATCAATGTAGTACTCTGTTGAACCATCACGTCTGATTCATCAGTTTTTATATAACAGGTCATTTTCTTAGTGACCTTGTGCTGTACCTTCGTCTCAAAGCCGTGCTAAAGCACCTCGTTCGGATGATTCATTCTGAGAGATGCTTGTCTTGCTGATAATATGTCCGTTTAAGAGTCCAGGATGAAAAGAACAAGCTGAGAGACACTGTGTGATGAAATGAGGGAGCTGTGATCAAGTGCTGCCCAAAGCACAGCTGATAAGAGCAGAATGCAGGCAGCATGGTGCAAATGCAAAGGAGAACCAGGAGATGAAAAGAGACTTTTAAAATGTCATAAAAGCAGGGATAAGTTCAACTACACATAATCATTATCTGTCACTTTGACTGACTTGATTGTTATTTTAGACCATTTCATTTCTGAATACACGTTTAATTTTGAAATCACGTTTTTCCATTGATGTGTGGTTTGTTATGATAGGACAATATTTGGCTGAGATACATCTATTTGAAAATCTGGAATCTGAGGGTGCAAAAAAATCTAAATATTGAGAAAATCATCTTTAAAGTTGTTCAGATGAAGTTCTTAGCAATGCATATTACTAATCAAAAATTAAGTTTTGATATATTTACGGTAGGAAATGTACAAAATATCTTCATGGAACATGATCTTTACTTAATATCCTAATGATTTTTGGTATAAAAGAAAAATGTATAATTTTGACCCATACAATGTATTGTTGGCTATTGCTACACATATACCCCAGCGACTTAACACTGCTTTTGTGCTGCAGGCTCACAAATATTATATAAATATATTTTACATGTGTAGGCCTATATATAATATTTAAACCTAATACACATTTTTTTTTTTTTTTAAATGCTTCATATATTATTATATTATTTACATTTATTGTTTTATATATTATTTTTTTATAAATATTTAGATATAGCAATTTTTAAAAAATGTTTACGTTAATTATTTGATTATTCATATTCATAATAAATTTACATTATATTTTATATATATTGTTTACATATTATTTTATATATGTTTTTTTACACAAATGTTTAGATATAGCAAACCATATATTTCACATAGCAAATGTATACATTATATTACAATAATTATAATATTGTAATTATAATACAAAATGTATATTCTAATACATTGCAATAATTACAACACAATATATTCATGTATACATTTCACATAGCAAATTATACACAATATATAAAGAAAAAATAAATGTGAGCCTGCAGCACAAAAGCAGTCTTAAGTCGCTGGGGTATATTTGTAGCAATAACCAACAATACATAAGATTCCAGATTTTCAAATAGTTGTATCTCAGCCGAATATTGTCCTATCCTAACAAACCATACATCAATGGAAATATTATTTATTCTGCTTTCAGATCATGCATAAATCCTAATTTTAAAAAATGTACCCTTATGACTGGTTTTGTGGTGCAGGGTCACACACACACAAACATGCATAAATCCTAATTTTAAAAAATTTACCCTTATGACTGGTTTTGTGGTGCAGGGTCACACACACACAAATATATATATATACATTTAAAACCCTTTTATATAAACAGTCCTATACAATGTTTATATATACAATCATGTGTATGTGATACTGATGTCAGACTGCATCTTGTTTTAATGAGCCCCAGGTCACCGGTGCTTAAATGTTAGAACTGTGTGTTGCACACAGGTGTCCTGATCGAAAGCCTGCCGCTTGGTCAGCATCGTGAGGAAACACCTGTATTTTTGCAGTGTGCATAGAACATATGCAACTCGTGTTTCAGTACGGGATCAAATCACCGTCATAGGGAAAGGTCACATGCAGATATGAATAATTATGCAACAATGCCTTCTCATAGGATTAGGCCACACAGACTCATGAATAACAGTGAGACAAATGATTAGAGTGCAAAAACTCTAAATTAAACAATTTGCTCTTATCTTTGATCATGTGCAACACATACACTACTATAAAGTGTAGAGAGAGAGAGAGAGATACACGAGGAGAGACTCACCGGGAATGTTGTGTATAGTAATGGCCAGGATCAGCAGAACGACTCGCCTCCAGCTGCTTCCTGTTTGAGCGCTGACTTCCTGTGCTTTAGGACTCACGTCCTGCTCCTCCGTGTGGCCGCTGTTGGGACCCCTGCGTCTCTGGTACACCTCTCCATTCTCGATTTTATCTAAAGGAGGAACAGAAATCGCACGTCAAACATGGTCTCCAACGTCATCTTCTGGAGAGCAGCACATTTCAGTTATGCACTGAGAGAATCAATACAACAACAATTCATTAGTCAGTGTCACAAAATCCCATAAATCAGAAGGTATTTAGACACGCTGTGAACAGGGCTGTAATCCTGACAGAAAATCAAAAGACATTAAAACGGCTCATAAAATCTGACCTCTAGAGGTTAACCACCAATGTTTTCTCAATTTCTTTCACTGACCATTTGCTGAAGTCACATTTATTCAAATAGTGTAATTGTTTCAAAGCAAAGTCACAGTTATAAACAGAAAAATAACAGTTTTATTATTGCAAAAATCATCAATTATGAAACTAATTTTCACGTCTACAGAAGACATGGTCTATGGATATTTTATAGCTATCATGTTGTATTGTGATTAATATGTATATATATAATTTATATAGACTCTTTTATAATTATAACCTTTATTTTTTATAAAGATAATATATGCATTATCAATAGACCATTACTGAATGTTTTCATTCATATTTTAATTTTTATGTAGCCAATATTTGCAACTGCAATAATTCGATAAAATATGAAATATTATATTATATTTATAATATTTATGTATTATATAAAATATTACATACAAATATTTAATATTTTAGATAATATGTACACTTATATTTTATATTTTCAATTATTATTTTTAACAGTGTTGTAACATTGTGTCGATGTTGTACTTGGAAAAACTTGAAAATGAAATAAACTGTTGTTTTTGTGTTTTGTACCTTGTTCATGAAAAGTACCAATGAATTGATCAAATCAACACAAAGTGCAAAATACACTATTAACCAATCAGTTGTTTAGTCTCAGATTGCTCCTGTCAAAAAATGACTTACAACACTGAGTTCAATACAGCCAATAAATCAACCTTGAGTCTCATTACTGCAGTCGACTTGTTTTCCCATGATCAATATCTAATCAGCAGAACAGAACAGAACAGAACAGAACGGACGGCTCTTTTCAAAGCCGACCTGAGCTTTCATCTCTCAAAGCTTACACTGTTTTTATCACAGCTTTTTACAGCTGCTTAAACGCCAATCGTCAAATCAATGATTTCCTTTAATCGCTATAAAAATGATATCCGGAGTGCATCTGAAACTCACACCGATAATTACCCGTCACTTTAGAGCGCAATTAAGAATGTATTAGAATTAGAAAACAGAAGAGAATAACACTGATGACCTTCGGTTGTCCTCACTGTAACACATCTCTCCCAAGCACAAAATAAAGCACATAATCAACGCAGATTACTCGGGCTGAAAGCTCATGAGGAGCACATCTGCAGATGAGTTTGCATGTGCAATATGAAATATCATTTCAGTTTGGTGACTGAAGGATCGCATGTGCAATAATTATGAGGGATGGACAGCATGTGAAGGCTGAACCTGCTTCATGAACGGTGACGCTGTCACACCACGGTCGGATCTAATAGTCCTGTATATCAATTTCTTATCCGGCAAATGTTTCAGCCATAAAATGAAATAAATGAAGCAATGTGCATTTTATGAATATTCATTGAGAAATGATAGAAATAGTTCAAACATTTTAAAAATAATGAATGCCATTAATAATAAAAAAAATAATGCATTAAAAATAATTAATAAAAATAAAATGCAATAAAATAAATAGAAATGTGGCACATTTGGATGCATTTTATTTCATAATTCAACTGGAACCAATATGTTGCACAGCTGAAAAATGAAACAAGCAATGTGCATTTCATGAATATTCATTGATAAATTATAGAAATAATTCATTAAAAAGTAACAAATAAATAAATACACAAAAAAAATAAAAATGTGGCTCATTTGGTTGCATTTTATTTCATAATTCAACTGGAACAAATATGTTGCACAGCTGAAAAATGAAACAAGCAATGTGCATTTCATGAATATTCATTGATAAATGATAGAAATAATTCATTAAAAAGTAACACAAAAATAAATAAATGAATACACACAAAAAAAAATGTGGCACATTTGGTTGCATTTTATTTCATAATTCAACTGGAACAAATATGTTGCACAGCTGAAAAATCATGAATTTTCATGAATATTCATTGATAAATTCACTAAAAAAGTAACAAAAATAAATAAATACACAAAAAATAAAAATGTGGCACATTTGGTTGTATTTGATTTCAGAATTTAACAGGAGCACATATGCTGCACAGCCACAAAATGAAATGAGCCATGTGCATTTAATGAATATTCAATGATTATTATAAAAATTATTAAGAATTAATTGATTTTAGGAAATATTACAGGTGCCATTTCAGCCTTACTAAAGCGTAATCCTCTGTTAATTAATGAGATGCAGGGTCATTATCATTAACAGAGGCAAATAAATACATAATTAAAAGAGCAGTAAGCACATCTGGATGCATTTTATTTCATAATTTAACTGGAACGCGTGAAGCATGCCACAGATGCGCTGAATTAATTGCAGATTCTTCAATGAAACCTGGGATGAAAGACCCCAAATGGCAATAATTTGCAGTACATTTTTCAGGTTGGCAGCCACAATATTTCTAAAAATAATAAATAATATACCCTAAATGGTCAAAAGCTGCTGCTTGGATGTTGCAATGAAATACTGGATTGTGATTAACTCAAGTTCACACCCAAATCTCTGGTGTCTAGATATGACTCTGCACTTTCCTTAACGCAAGTATACTTCTCATCTTCTTCACTTGTTTTATCATCTGCCAGGTGAAAATAGTTTAGGAAAGTAATAGCACACCCTTCGCAAGCCGTGCAAATTGAGATACCATTCATGTCCGCAGCTCGCTCATGGATTGTACCAAGCAGAATGCACTCAGGAAAATAAAAACACTTTGCTGTCTCTGTCGGTAACACACACACACACACACACACACACACACACACATTCTCTGAGGACACTGAGTCATAACAGCACAGCTTCATAAGCATCCAGTGAATCCATGCAAACACAGGCCTGATACTGTCCACATCACTTAAACATCAGTGTGGCATAAACCAAAAAAGAAAAACATATCTTCAGCTCAAACATATTATTACTTAAAGGTCAGAACAGCAAGTCAGTGAAGACCAGGCTGCTATTTGTGTCGATCAAACTGTCTCTGGTTTCTCTGTTGATCACTGCTTATTTGCTGGTTTTCTTCATAATATGCTAATGTGTGTTCTGCAGCTACATCCCATATCATCGACTGATTTTGCATACGCTCGGCTTGGCACCAGGAGGCTCAAACCTGTCTTCAGCAATCAGGCATAAAACATCTTCAAAATAAATTACACTTGCGCAATACGTGGACAACTGCGTGGACACGATTTAATCAATTTAATGCATCCTTGATGAATAAAATTATTACTTAAACAAATAAATAAATACCCCAAACTATGGTAGCTTTAAAACACATGAAATCATATTTACATACTTGTACATATTACAGCCACCGTCTAATTCCTTTGCATGGAGATTCAGCACAACATCTCCTTTTGTGTTTGACAGAATACATAAAGTGACATGAGTTTGACTGATATGCAGTTACAGATATAACA